GTTAATTGTAATAGAGAATATTTAAGTGAAAAAAATGACAGCTTGAGATTCTGATATTTAGTTCATCAATCGGAAGGCACAGATGCTCGACCTGTTGAGATGCTTTTCACTAAAGTAGGTTGACTCTTCTGAAAAAAGAATAGGAGTCAGCAGTAGACAACGGTGACCTCCATCTAAATATTTTCTTGTTTTATGTGTTAAGCTACTAAAGTGTGTGTGGTGCTTGATTTACTTCTAGCTAACTAATCTGATAGGGAGAAAAATTATGTTAGCTCAAATCTAAATTCATCTTTCGTTGGCAGGAAATTGACTAGTTAAGGCACTTCATGATAATTTAGTCGAATGAAAGCAAATTATTTGAGGTCTAATCTGCATTTTTTTGTGGTTGGTAAAAAACTGAGGAGATGAGCCACTTCCTATTAACTATTTTCAAAGAGAGTCAAATAATGTGAGAGCAAATCTACCAATGTATTTGCTTCTCAGAAAATCGCGTATATCTACCATCAGAGAGTTAAAATTATAATGCAAGCATTTGCAAAATACATTCAGAACTGCATGCTAGTGGGTACACTTTACCGCATCACCACAATGCAGTTTCTGATTATCAAAATTACATGCAAATTTACTGCCGATGCCAGATATCTGTTCGACTTATAAACAGTGTACTTACATTTTGTAGAGAGGGATAAATCAAGCCCTATTAAGCAAAATATCCATTTAAACTGCACTCAGAGATGTAAGAAATGAAAGAATCAACAACTGTAAATAGAGGGCTAAAGCAGTTGGCTAGAGGACATTCCATCATGCACCTGTGAGCTTTTTATTCATACACTAGAGTTGCAGGGGCTGTAGCATCCGATGTCACAATTCACAAGCCTTCATAGGGGACAACTTCATAGTAGACACAATTCTTTGGCAATGGAGGAGCCGAGACGAAGCGGTTCCACTAAACCTCTGCAGTAAGTTTGCAGAGATGCGGATGTGTACATTGGATTGGCCTTCCCTCCACAACACGTAGGATATGGTAATTCGGCGGAAGAGACGAAAAGCGTTGTCGTCCATTCAATGCTCTTACACTCGCTAGCAGCGTAGCGCCCCCACCACCCCTGACGATGAACTGCTCTCAACTGAAGTCGTCTGTGCGCTTGTGTGCCCAGGCGGGCGATAACCAATAGGCAACGTGTGTAGGAGAGATGTTTCCACCAATCGGTCGGTGGATCGCTTCCCCGACGCAGATGAGCCAGCTGCGTGGCGTCCACCCACCCACCAGCCAATCCACTGCTCGGCGGCTTCGTCAGTGCTGCATGGATTGACTGCTGACGCTGACATTCAACGTGGAGGGTTTAGAGCGGAACGCAATGCTCAGCAAACGCGATTTTAGCTGGGCAGAGGGGTTCCTGGCATTTTGCAAAAAAGGCAAAGACAAAGAATTTTTAGTGAAACCCAGAACGTGAACGTTCTTCTGGAGATCCAGACGCATAATAAAAGTATTTTGAAATAAGTGTTGTGCAAGTCCGTTGG